GTAATAATCGACCAGCAGCAGCGGGTTCATCCGGTTGCTGTGTATCTACGAGTATAGCAGGCCCACACGGGGTTTCGGGGTTCCGTCCGGGCTATAAATACGCTGGACCCTTCAGAAATCCCTCATCTTCCTCAGGGCTCAGTCGCAGCTGACAACTCTGGTCTGGGTTTGAATTTACCCAGCATTTCTCAGCCTGTTTTTTTTTTTTGTGTGACTTCGAAGTGGCCCTTAAAATTTTTTGTTTATAGGTTGAATGCGGGGAAGACCCTAATTGAAACAAATTTTATAAAATACGCGCACTTTTTATGGATAATGTTGAGGGTGGAAATTTTAGTCTCTCTTTTCCCAGAGTTTACGATTTAGAGTGAAACCTATCTTATTGATTTATTCACATGCAGCATTGTAAGCTTCTGCTTTGCCCTGATGTCATTGCCACAAAAATATTTTATTTAATTTCGCAATAATTTTCTGCGCTTCTTAATGTGATCTTTCTTATTGAGGTACGACCATATAGACCACAATGAGTTGATAAGAAATGGATTAGTGTTCTGGGCACCAGAATCCTTTCTCAGCGATGATGAGTGTAAAACGCAGGTCTGTATGCAGCAACGTTCTTGTCTAGAAAGATTATTTTTTTTACAGAATAAATTTATCTCTTCGCCCCATACTGTTCTCTCCTCATGTTATATACTGGTCATGTACAATAAAATTATCTCCGCAACAAATATTTTGCTGATCATTTCATTTTCGTTGCAGTGTTCCCCAACCCATGGTCCGTGGACCAGCTTCAGTCTGCAGAAAATTGTTTGCCGGTCCACGGAAAATTTTCTTTGGCATAATGAATGCTTCAAAAGTAGAATTGAAGTCTGTTATCTTTATCTGAAATTTCTGAAAGAGAATGGCAGTTGACATTATCTGATGAAAAATAAAAGTTGGGTTTTCTCCTGATAATTTTCATTGAGACAAATTTCCATCTGCTGAAATAAATTATCTTAATTTTTCATTCTGAAAACCTTTGTTCAGCCCACCTTTCTAATTTTTTGAAGACATTCCACAAAAGCTGCTTCATTATTGGTTCTTGACTTGACTCTTACAGAAACTTTTTAAATACCTGCAATGAAGTTTTTCAAACAAACTTTTTTGAGTCATATAAAATGCTGCCAGTCCGCAAAAAAATTTCTGGAAATTTGCCGGTTCATGTGCCCAAAATGGTTCGGGACCACTGGTGTAGAGAATCCACTACCTACTGTCTGAACTGTGCAACTTTTTTTCTTTATTTAGAATAACATTATTTGGCTTTGTTTTCCTTTTATCATAGGGTTGATAAATTGAGAAGTACTGCTGTACCAAACATTTTAAATTGTTGGTTAGAAAATGGCTTCTAACGGTTCGCGGAAGTTGTTCGGTGTTTCGTCGGTAGCTTTATTTTTGGCTCTCGTCGTCGTCATTTCATCGTTGAACTGGGCAAATGCAGCTCGAAGGGTCAGGATCAGGAAAACTGCAATTTCAGCACCAGATGCTTCACCTTCTCGTTCTCGGATCAATCGCCAAGTATGCGAAATATTCATTGCGTTGAAAAATACAGTATATGGAGAAAGTTGTACTGTATATATTTTTTGGCTGGTGGGAACATCACAAAAATACCGACAATAATTATTCTTTTTTTCCTCAGGTGAAACCTGTTGCTGGAACCACCGTGAATCAGAGCAGAGCGGTTTCACCGGTTGGTGGTGCTCGAGGCGGTGGTGCTGGAGGAGGTGGTGGTGCTGGTGGTGCCTCTCCTGCTGGCATAGGAGGGATATTGAAGGAAAACCTCGAAGCTTTGGCTGGTGCTTTTCCGCAGGTTTGTGCATTCCTAAATTCCGTCGTACCACAATCACTAGACAAGTTCAAACTCAACGTTTGTACTGCATCTAATTCTGCATGTTTCTATTGCAATAATTACTCATGGATCAAGCTGTTTTGAATTTTGTCTTGACAAATCATAATCTTTCAGGAAAAATTTTTCGCAGCCTTTTTGCACTCGCATTTTATCGCCTTATTTATTTTAGGTCAGCGGAAAAATGAGCGAGGCGAATTTAAAGGGACATTATTTTATTTGATCATCATTCATACTGTTTTTTTTCGTTGACTGAAAAAAGGGAGCAACCTTCGGAGAAGGAAAGGTGACCAACCCAAATGCAGAAAATCGATTGCAAGTCCACTTTGACAAGGTTGTGAAAAGTGAGGAGGATGACTCCATCTTTTTCGGAAAGAATCCGAGCAACCTTCCAGTAAGTTCATTTTTTATCATTGTACAGTATATGTTTTTTAAAATCAGCAAAATTATAGCAAGACATACAGTACGCATACATACAGTATTATTACATACTGTATACATACAGTATTATAGCAAGACATACAGTATTATTTGTATATTTAAAGATTTCTCGTAAGGAGAAGCGAATTTTTTCGAGTTTCTTTTTCAGAAGTTTTCTGATTAAGCTCTGAGAGTACAGCCGGGTTTCCGCTTGCAAATTATTTTAAATGTACTCGAGAAATATATTTTTGTCTCTTTTAATTTAAAAATTCTGATTTCACTGACTGATGAACTTTCCGCCGTGCTCCTTGAATCACATCACATTCAAATGTGTCAAATTTGGCCTATTTACGTCCCACGTAAAACATTATGCTGGGTTTCGCAAAGTTGTAAATCATTTAATGTCTGGATTGATTATATAGGTCATCATCAGTCAGGTTGAACTAGTTGAAAATTCATGTACAGTACCGTTAAACTGTAGTTACACTGCAATCCCCGATTCTGCTCGAATGAAGAAGAAGAAGAAAAAAAAACACTTTGACCATCAAAAAGGGGAAGACGCTTTTTTTTTAACTTCACTGTACTGTTTTCGATTTGAAATACTGTACTGATTGAAGAATGATGAAACACAGGGTGAAGAAGTGGGGGATAGTCCGTACAGATGGCGCTACATCATCGAATGGAGTGTGGACAACGAAGTGGCTCTTCAATACATGGGACAACTGGAAATTTTCCTGCCTGCTTATGAATGGACACTCGGGTATTACTACTGGCTTCGCCCTGACGGACACTTGCAAGAGGTTTGTTATTTTTTTTATTCATGTCCTATGAATGAATCCTCTTGGAGGCCGAAATTCCTGCATTGGCAGGAACGGAAGTTCTTTTTGTTAAACCAGCACATATATTCAATCAAAAATCACGCGCACTTTTCTTTCCTCAAAATTGACAGGAAACAGAGGTCATATATAGACGAGTATGAAGCTGAAGAACACTTTTAGAAGTTTAGGTGTGCATCATATTTGATATTCTATAATGGGAAAACGTCAGCCAATCTAAATCTAAACATAAATGCTGAATGATGTAATGAATAAAAAAAAAACTGAAAATTACTGTAATTCAGGTTCAAATTGTTGGCTACATTCTAGTTTCGATGTTCTTATTTTTGAAATATTGCATTTGTACAGACGCAGAAAATGGGATGCGCATATTACTAGAGGATACAATTTTATCAAATTGTTTGACTGAAAAACTATGGTGTGCGTCTTTTACTCTATATATAATTATATAGGGGCGTGTTATTACTCGAGTAAAGATGTTGCTATATAGACTTCCAAAGCAGAACAATATCACAGCTGAATCGCGTCGATGGCCATGAATTCCTCGTTGATAATAATTTTTTCATTACAAGCTTTTTCCCCAAAGGTCTTCAGCTTTCTTTTATAAGCAATGAAATTTCAGCATCATGTAAATTATATGAATTAATAATTCTCTATGCAATTGTTTGACGCAATTGTATACAGGACAGCCGTTGGACAGCCCTTAAAAAAAAAAATACACTACAGTACTTCGGGTAACAGTGCCCTATATGGGTACCGTTACCCAATGTAGTGTTTGCTGTATAGTGTACAGTAATTCTCTTCTTTTTAACTTTCCGGTAACACTTCTGCAGAGAGAAAAAAGTGCAACTGATACATGCATCATAAGTTAATAGAGTTTGCGCATGAAATATCATAGAAATTTGGAGTGCACAATAAAGATTGCCATCGGGCGTTTTCAAAAACGCACGCAATCCTCATCAAGAAGTCTTTTTATGCGCTGCTCATCGTGGAATATTTTCATTAATCCGCTCAGAATTTCAAGAACATTTTATGCATGAAAATTGTGAACTATAATTTGAAAAACGAGTCTTTTTATTTATATGTTACATAGATATGTTTTCATTTTTAACGGCATAACCCTCGACTCTGCAGCGTGTTTTCTCGTCCCTTTCTCCAGTTTCTGCAAAATAAATAATGTTACATTCGGGAAATTATAATTGAAAATATTAGAGGACTTAAAACAGAGCTCCAGGTTTATGTACGTCGTCGCTTGTTCTTGGACCGTGTCTTTAAACAAAAACAAACAAAAAAATGGAACACTGGTCAACTTTTTCGTAGTGTAATGAAAATTTCAGAAGGGATTTCCTCTTGATATTTACTTATGTTGTCAACTTATTGCGTATTTTTCAAGGTATTCTACAACTCGCGTCCAGATTACGGCTTCCGGAACGAGGTGTTCGTCACCAGGGATTTTTTGCCCCAGAATTGGTACACAAACAAGGTGGACTACAGTCAACAGGTCTACGAAAATACATACGTGCAAGAAGGCAAACGAGGTGAACAACAACAACAGTTGCAGCAAAGAAAACCGGCGGGCAATTAAGCGTAATGTGTCGACAAAGAACAAACGGAACTATAGTTGAATTCGCCAAGTGTACAAAGCACTGTTCCTGTGCTTTCGAACAATGAGGCATTTGTTGTCGAAAGGCTTCATGCATTATTTGGACCAAATAAACAAGTGCGCCTTGATTGCGTCATTAAAAAATTCAAGTAGGATCAGTGTTGTTTATTTTTTTCTTACACCAGGAAAGTATCTTTTTTCAATGCCTGGTTCGAGAGTTGATACAATGTGATTTTTCGTTTCCTCGAACGAAATGACAAATCTAATGAACAGGACGTTCTTTTTCAACCGCAAAAAAACGTTTTCGTCCGATTCGTCCGAACTGCTGCTGACACGGCGCAACGTTGTGATGTTCGCCGATGTCGGAGCTTCCAAAAAAAATTCCAGTCGTTATAAATCAACAGATTCTAATGCAAAACTGTGCATAGGAATGGAAAACATGACACGAATTCCATCATCTCGCGCGGGTTGAATCACCATTCTTTCCCAGTTCCATCGGTTACTGGCACGACTAGAGTAGGCTGCGACACCTGGATGACGTTTGCAGGAAATAAAATGCGATACTCCGGTGGATACTCATAAGGTGGCAGGATCGGTGGCTCGACTCCCGTCTCCGATGGCTTCATCGCCTTAATTTATACAATGGAAAATACGAATTAATCAAAATTCACGCAGGTCATGCAAATAAAACAGTACTTCTGGTACAGAGACAATGAAAAATCAAGCATAAAACAAATTTTCAGAGGGCCCTGTCGAAAAAGAAGGCGTTAATGTAACTCCGGATCCTGCGCACTTAACCTTGCTCTTCTCTCATTTCTTCTACAGTAAATAGAGACTCGTCAGAGAATGTGAAAGGAGGAAAAATTTACACGTCGCTGCAGGAATATTTAAAATTGAGACAGTGAGAAATTAAAATGCCATTTTGAAAGTGGAAAGTTTCAAAAACCGAGCGTAAAAGCGCTAAAGGTATCGTGTTGATCCTATATAGAAAATGTCAATTCCTCATTCTCAAAATTTTGTAGTTCAAATTTTTTCTTCAGTTCTTTGTGATATTTTTCATAAAATTTTCCCATTTGTCGTAGAGTGCAAGGAACACAAGACATTGATAATCAAGAGAATTGAGTGTCATATACTCTCTGCTTTCACTTGAAAAAGTAGCTAATTCGAAGTACATTTATTTTGAATGTTCGAGGATTCGTTCAATAACAGACAATGCTCTTCTATACTTCCGAAAAAAGCGTGTACGTATTAATCAGCAGCCTTTTCACAGAAATTCTTTGTTTAAAAATTTTAATCATTGTCGAAATTTCTTAATTTCCCGAGAAGTTTAAGCAAATAATGCTAGAAAGATTGAAAGGTATCTAAAAAATATTTCGGACATGTACTGCAATAAATTGCATATATCGTTTTTAAATTTAGACGCAGCACTTTGGACTTTGTTCAGCTCTTCAAAAAACCCGACGAAGCAATCATATCTGAGATTATGAGACTCGGGAAACATTTCGAAGTTCTGTACATATACGTAGAACAATTATTATATTTTTATTTTTTTATTATTTCTGCCTTTTCGAATTGTTATTGAAACACGAACGTAATCGTTAGCGAAATTAATGCACCGTCATATTAGTGAAATTTCAATTTATATTTATATCCAATTTCTCTCTTTCATTTAATATTTTGAACATTTTAAAGCATTTTTTCGAAACTTCTTCGGTTACTGTACTTTGCTGCTTGGTATCTGCGCGTGTTGCTGAAGTTTGCAAGTTCGTGATGTCATTCAATTGATTGGGAGCGACAAGAATGATAAAAAAAATTAAATATTTGTATTGGTTAAAAATTCGATCGGAATCACTGCACAATGCGACTTTTAAGATTCGTTGAGAGATGATTCAAAGCTTGGTTGAATCAGGGAATGAGTAATACTCGAATTGTATCGCTTGTATAACAACGTTTGTAAACGCAGAGTATCTTTAAACGCATTCAAGATTTAATTAAAAAAAATTGACTATAACGTTAAAAAAATGAAGAGGAAGCACATTAAGGAATACTATATTCAATGTTGATAAAAAAATACTGTACCGACTAAAATTAATACGTAACGACTAAGATTAATGATGTAATAAATCAGGGATGTCCGATCGAAACCAGGCTCTCGACCCGGAGCATCCCTGCGCGTTTATATATCTCATATCAAAATGCGTCATTGCCTCATTCATCGATTCACTGCAATCAAACAGCAGATAACATATACAACACATCCACACTCATCAGGATCACTATCACGTGTTTCTTATGAGCTGCGAAAATATATTGCAGCCCGTTGTGCGTTTTCCGTAATTCCTTCGTGAATTTCATAATGACGCGATTGACGATAAAGGGACGAAATTAATTGCAAATCAGTAAGCTTGAATTTCTTATTTCAATAAATTTACCTGTCGTTCTTTATTTCCGTCGATCCCTTGAGCCTCGGCTGCTTTCTTAGCGGCGGCTGTCATTTCCGGCGACCCAGCAGACATGGACTTGAGAGCATGCGACGCACTCAGGGGCAACGGGTGTACGGAACACCGCCGATCGGCGCCGTTTGCTGTGAACGCCCGGGACGCCATCGAACGGCGAGTGTGGTAATGCTTCCGGAGGATCATCGCGACGGCCAAGGCGGTCACTGACAGCAGGATCAAGCACACTCCACCCCACAGCACTATATATGGATGGTCAAAATTGGCATTATGCCAGATTCACTGATAAATAATACCTGCATATCATTTATCCTCGATTAGTACCAATACAAGCAAATTTTTCTCGCTCTCAAATTCGAAAGGAAAAAAAAGGGGAGTGCGCATCAAATAAAAGCGGGTGTACATTTTTCAAAAAGTATTGCAAGTCCAGGTGTGCATTATATAACATTTCATAGTAGGAAATTTTGGGCCAATTTTAAGAGAAAAACTTGAGGGAATTTAAACAGTACGAAATTGATCATATTCAGGCTCAACAATTACAATGTCGTTACAGTGATACCCCAAAATGCGGACACGCCAACATATGGCCAGTTTGACTTGGGGACACTTGAAGTTTTAAAAAATCTCACCCAATATCCAGACAATAACTCGACTTACGGACATTTCCCCAACATTTCTGGAAAGCGTTGTATAAATTTATTGTTTTAAAATTTCAAATTTGTTGAAGAAAAATTGACTTGTTTACAGTTATAAATACTAAAAGTAAGGGTTAACTTGAAATTAACCAAATTCAGAATAAAAAAGGATAATATTTTGTCCATCTATTTTTCAATTAATGTGATCATGGGTAAATCAAAACCTGTTCTTGTTCTTTATTTGCTTCACGAGCTTATTCTGAAGTGAAAAAATCAGATTCTTCGTGGTTTTCTTCGCTTCAGATGTAAATGTAAGACATGACGACGTCTTGAAACCTTAAATACCAGACAGCATCAAAAGTTAAACACAACCTGATTTTCTACTGTATCGTCTGATGCTGTTTTTCAGATTTACCTCTTTTTCGTGTCGCAGAAGGCACAATATTTGATTAAAAGAAATTTCAAAGAAGTTGTAATTCGATTGCTATTTCCTACCTAAAAATTTCAGTGCGAATTGAATCTTTTTTTAAAATTCAATCGGGATGTTCAATTTTTTGATCGTATTGAAGCACATGGACTTTTTTTTACGTTCACTATACCAAATAAATGCTTTTTCATGTTGAAAAAAGGTTTTTAACGAAAAAACTACACACATGATGATTCAATAACAAGCACAGTACTGTACTCACTTCTTCCGTACATCCATCCAGCTTCATGATTTCACGTGGTTTGATTGACGTCAATCAGCAAAAGAAAAAAAAAAGAATCGAATGCACGTTATAAATTAGACAGTTTCAAACTTATCCAATGAAATCATGTGCATAAAAATGCTTACGACAAAACAAGTAACTTTCGTCATAGTTCAGCAATTCCTTGTTGACGCAGTTGAAATGCCCGTCACAAAAAAAGGCGCTTCGGATGCAACCTTCAAGATATGGACAGCGGATGAAGTTTCCGGAATCTTTCAAAAGCCTTTCTACGTTTGCGCATTTTTTGTCCAGAGAATCATCATCATCATCATTCCTTTTTTCTTTGTTGGACGATTTCATCATGACCACGGGCGTGATGACGAAAGTCGGTTTGAAGGACGGAGAATAATTTCTGCGTCCGACGTTCAACTTCGATGTGGTGTCCTGATTGCTTTTTTCGTCTTCATCATACTTTGTCCACCAGACGAGCAATTCCTGGACTTTCTGCGAATTTCTAGCCATCATGGGTGGACTCAGTATTATCGCACGCGAATTTTCAGATTCATCGTCAGTCCCTTCGTCCTCTTGTTCGTTCCGGTCAGAAGGTGCCGAGTCACAATTGGGGACCTTTCGTGCGGATTTCAATTCATCTAATTCAAGCATCTGCTGCTCGTTGTTTTTGACGTTCGAAATCTCATCGTCCTGAACGCATGCGAGTTTTCCTTTTTTGAAACATGCCTTGGTTTTTGGCGTCGTTGTGTTATTGCTGGTCGACCAAGCGGCCTGCGGATAAATACATTTTGCGAAATCTAACGGCAATGGCAGCACAGTACGATTCATGTACTGTATTTTTAAAAAATCAAATTGGATGCGATTCCTGTTCATAGCAAATAACTATGGAAAGCATTGGGAGGTTATTTTATTTGGCAATATGACCCTTGAAAACTTAGAGATAATAAGCATTGAAAATACAATAGAATCTCATTACAAGATATCTCATTATAACAACTTTTTGTTTAGAAATTTTTTAAAGTCCTCGCAGTTACCTGAATTATTCTTGTTTTAATTAAGAGATCAATTTTTCACAGACTCTCTGATGGTTATACACTTTTTCCTTGATTTTTTACCACGTTTTTATGAACTCACTTTCTTGTCCATTTGTTTGTCCGGATCAAATTTTGAAACTCAAATTTCACTCACTTCCTGACTAGCTAGCAAGCTGAAACTTTCAGGATAGCTTCGAAACTGATGAAAATGCAATCTTTTGTGAAAATAAAAATTATAAGAATATTTTAAAAAAAGAATAAAATAATTATAGTAGATTAAAAAATTAATCTAAAAAACCACGTTTTTCAAGTAAGACTAAAAAGCACAAAAAAATTTAGTAGATTAAAAAATTAATCTAAAAAACCATGTTTTGAAAAAGGAAAAAATAACCTTAAACGTGGTGCGCATGGAGATTGTTGGGAAGAAGTGAAATACAAATGAAATAGATGCGCACCACGTTTAAGGTTATTTTTTCCTTTTTCAAAACGTGGTTTTTTAGATTAATTTTTTAATCTACTAAATTTTTATGAATACCAAGTTTCCTGGGGAAGATAAATGGAAAACAAATGTGGAATTTCTCTTCCACGGGGGCTCATCATGCCTATACACGGTGGAGAGGAAATGTGCTTGCCACCACAGAAGAATAAAAAACTGGAAGGGAAAAATTCATTACACATTAGTTGACAGCAGGAAGCCCATGAAACAAATCATAAATGTTGGCTGAATAATTTATGCAATGTCTCAGGAGTCTGGAAGCACAGTACAGTACCAACTTAAAGCTGGGAAGTCAGAGTCTCCAAAATCTGTTAAAAATTGTTCACAAGGGAATATGTTTATTTGGAGGGGGAGGGTTGTTGTAACAAGATTTTACTTTAATTGGGTTTAGATTGAAGTTTATTTGATTCAATGAATTTTACCTTCAGAATAGTTCAACTTTCAAGTTGAAAGGGTGTACAGTATTGTTAAAAATATAGAACACAGTACTGCATTAACTTGAGTAATACTTACCTTCGAATTGGATGTGGATCAGAGGATTTATTGGAATTTTTTTTTTATAAAATCATACTCCTAAATAAGATGCATGTCCCATTCATAGGGATTCTATAACTGCAGTATTTCAAACATAAGATCATTTAGATTTCACTTTAGACATGCATTGAACCTTAATTCAAATAATTATAAAAATTTTCCAATAAATTCAAGTTTATCTGTTGAACATGATCCAATATTTTGCGTTAGAATCTAGACTTTAGACTAATGCTCATGTGAATACCCACAACTTTTTGAATATGTATTCCGAACTATGACATGCACCCCCTTTCTTACTTTTGAATTTATTGAGGAAATCGGTGCATATATGGTACCCAAGGTTAATACAGAAATGAAAATGCACCCCAAATTTTAATTTTGTTTTTTTAAATGGGAGAATCAGGAAAGAAGATTTTACTAATTGAAGGACATTCTTAGAAATATAGGCACCCGCTAATTAAAGAAATAAGATAGTTTTTAAATTAAATTCTCTGGGGGAGGCATTTCAAGTCACGAATTTGTTCGCAGTGGACACATGATTATACATGATTTGAAAATACAGGTTAACACTCTCTACAACGGTCTTGCCTATGAAGGGGAAATTTTCTGGATATTATTGAGGTCTCTTATTGTTATGCTGTAGAGGTTCTTTTCAAAGAAATGATTTTTAAAATAAATTTTTTATGGTGTGTTGTATTCCTTACTTTGTATGGTGAGAGTCCCAACGCCTGAACAAGAAATTTTTGAAACTCTTTTTGAAGTTCAGCAGGCGGAGAACTGGGACCTTACATTAATTTAACCCTCAAAATTTACTGGTTCAAATAATTTATTTTCATAATTCATCAATCAACGTAGAAGTGTAAAATATGAAGATTTCGGCGTCAACTCACGTAGACGCATCCTTTTTGCCAAAACTCAATAACAAGGTTGACTCTCAACTCGAAATCCACTCCGTCCTCTGATTCCGGGTGTGGCCTCGTATTTAAATCCTCGACCGTCAATTTCAGCGCATTTTTCAGGTTTTTTCCGTTTGGTTCTCCAGGACGCAGAAGAACACCGGTTTCCGCCAACAGAACATGATTATGGATTTCTGAGCCAATTTGCGACGTGTAGTCAGCTTCCAATTGACGCAGTTGGAATGTTTCATACGACGATCCTGTGTCAAGGGACATACGTTAAGAAACATATTAAGAAAGCTCACTGTCTTAATTCACATTGCAGAATAAAAAATTTAATGGTCATGAATAATGCTAGCTCCTTTGAGAATAAACTCGATGAAAATCGGAAACTGATGATAGTTCGAATTGAAATAATAATTTGGAATCTGCAACCGGAGGAACACAAACTAGATTATGTACACTTGAATCTACATGAATTATGGTTTCGGTGCTAAGTCCTTTTGACTATATTCAAGAATAATCACCTCGTAATTCAAAAACGGTAATTTTTCATTTCATGAATCTATACATAGACCACCCTATAATTCTAAAATCAGAGCCCAATAAAATACTGTATAGCGAGGTAATTATAATGGAGAATAGCACAATACTGTACATAATTAAACATTGTGGATCAAGGAAGTCTTCAAGGAAAACAAATGCAACGCAAGAAATTTTTTTTGTTGAGAATGTAAAATTTAGTGTCATTTTACCGGTAGAATTATACTTTATTTTTTATCTCGGCAATAAGAATGTGCTACCCACTTTCAGCAGACACGAAACTTCGCTGAAATACAGCACACAAAGTCAGCAACACCAACGGAAACACTCTTTCCTCCATATTGTTTTCCCCTAAAAAAAAGAACTCGATCCTGATATTCCTGACTGTTGGGCGTTCTTCTGTCAGGATAGATTTAAGGAATGCACGATATTATTTGAGCACCTGATGGATTGTCCCACAGAACCGCAAGATAAATTCGAATACTGTATGACTTTGCATAAACGGAAGAACATTCAAAAAAATTTGGAAAAACCGTCAGTCGATCAAATATTTTGCTGATAAACGTGAAAATCAACAGGAACGAACCTGCGCGAAGTGTACTGTATTAATCTTCACACGAATAAGAAAAAAAAGAAGGCCAAGAAACAGATTAAATTATTGCCACGGAGAACTAGACCACACAACCTGGATATTTTTTGATTTTTCACTTGATTTTTGGAAATCTTGCAGCAATCGGGATATCTACATCATGAGTCTCGTGACGTAAAAGCGGTCGAGCTTACGTGAGCTTCAATTTCAATGCACCATTTCAGGAATGATCGACAATAAAACTAACCTTATCTCATTTACGCCATATTCTCTCCAAACCCCCCTCACACATTTTTGGGTTTCAGCAAGTGATAAGATATTGCGACTTGGACAAGGAACAAACGGAAACAGGTGTCTGAATTTTTTTTAAAGGAAGTTTCCGAGAATTTCGAGAATTAAAGCTCTTATTTTCAGAAATTGTACAGTACTTGGGAAACTCGAATCACGGCCTATGAATTTCTCAACTTACAATGAAAAGCTATGTGACTTTTTCCTGCAGGTCCCCAGTTTCCCGAACATGATTTTTTCTTTAACATATACTGTATCATGATTACTCATGGAGATAATTCCCTTTATTCCCGCAATCGAAAATTCTAATCTACCGAACAAACTTTTGACAAACATGACTTAGCTATCCTGAGCGCAGATACCCTATGCAATTATGTAACTACATTACTGTACACTTGCTGAACAAAAATCTGCTGAAGAAACTAGAACGTGTTAGCGACATCTATACAATAAAAGATGATAATATTGAAGAGAGCTTCTGATGAAGTTCGCTAAGAGTAGCCAATACAAACTGCTAAGTTCGAATTAAATCCTATTTGAATCTCGCATGCTGCTTCAGAAATGTATAAAACGTCTCTAGTTTCCCGATTTCCCCCATTTTTAGTCGCATACGTGTTCATTTTTCCGAGCTAGGGGACTAAAACGCTGGAGAATGCATCGGAAATATGTCGATCTCATTGTGATGGATCTGAATCGATGACATAAATCCGATCATATTAATTTTAATCTAATCTCTGTCAGGTCTAGAGGTTGATTATAAAATGGTGAAGACGGTATCCGGACATGATTAAGCCCAATTTCTTATTTTAAATCGGGAAGGTGATATATCAATTAATTTTTCCATCTCTCGCGTATGTTTTCGCCATTTCAGGTGGTGCACATACAATAGATTCTTGGGCAACAAATGTTTTAAGCAACGAACATGTCATATAACGAGCCCGGTTTCTTCCGCCATTATGAGAAATTCAACTTGAGGAAAAAACCTGAAAGGCAAGTAGAACATTTTTTTTACATTAAAACTTCTGAAAATGGAGCAAATTTCGAATTATTATGGCAATGCACAGTATTCCCAAATGAGGAACAAATATCGAAATAAACGAATGGAAATCAAAAGTAAATTGAAATCCTGAGGGACTTGAAATCCCTCAAGTTTCTATTTTTGCATATTTTTGATAACTTCCAATAGAAAATCATCAATTTTTAATTTTTTCCTAATAATCTTGTCTGTTTTGGATGTTTTCATGCTCATTTCCCCCATTTAACATGGATAATCTTCAATGGGGGACCAACAAAATATACGAAGGGTTCCATCGGAAATTGTCCCTTACTACGTACGAAAGTGTTGAACAGCAAACCAATAAACCCCTAGAATGGACAAGATTCGTTTATCAAGGCCCCAATGTTTTCTGTTTCACTTTCAATGAAATTCTGGAAGCATTAAGTTCTCGTTAGCATTCATTAGCTCTCACGAACAAATTTTATCATATCATTTTATAGGGCTTTCATTGATCTCGAAGACAATACAGTAATGACTTCGTTGAATAAAATTAAATACCGGTAAGTACTGTATACCGTATTCAAAATTTCAAGAAATAACCAGACTCGTCAGCAATATCCGAGGTTTATTTATCTCTTTGGGATCGGTTCGCTCTTTGATGGAGGAAAACGGCGATGATATTCAATAGCAAGAAAGGAACAGAACGAAAATCCGGTTCACTGAATGAACTTGAGGAACTGCGACGAATCATTCAAAAACAAAACATTCAAAAAGTAATATATGCGCGTACAGTCGAATAAATGAGATCAGCACCAGTGCAGATCGTTCTCCTTTCCACAACCCTTGGAGTTCACCTGCATTTTCGAATATTTGCGGGAGTAGTTTACTTTCGGCAAATATTTCTCCTTCTCTCTTACATATTTTGTTTTCAAAATTGACCTCGAGACTTCCCTGATAAATCCATAAAATAACTCAGAAGATTAAAGGAATGAAATGATTGTCAAAATAATTTCTCCCAGCCTGTTAATACGTGTTTGATTCGCACATCATGAGTTGCACAATTTGCAAAAAAAAATGATTCTGAATCATAGCACATCATAATTTTAAGGTGTTATATAAGTGCAACAAAACATATATTAACATACCGGTATATATGTGCATTTCATCTGTCGTAAGCGTGATAGTTCAGAATTAATCTGTCTCTGTGGCTCAGAGTTTAAAATATACTTTACATTTTCACTGGAAATGCTTCATATCGCAAATTGCACTTGCATCAAAAAATCTCTCGACATACACACAGGATCGTGCAGTTTGATTGCGATCCCAATTATTATTGAATTACTTTTACCCTTCTTTTTCATTCACCTGTCTCAGGTATATGGAGCCTCAGAAAACTTTGCAATGAGCCCATTATAGGTTCTTTGCAATCCAAATTAGGAAATCCCTCCTATATAGAGCTTGTTTTGTTGTTGTCGGAAATGAAGTGCATGAGGTTGAATTGCTGGTTATGGGACATGCAATGACTGAGATAGTGACAACTGGCCCACTTTTTATTTTATTAATTTTATTTTTATTTTTTTTAAATCTAATTTTTCCATTTATTTTTTGCAGATTGTTCCCTGTCTGGAGGGAGTTTGAATGCATGCTAATTCCTTAGAAGGACAGTCAGGGAGCCCTTCCATTTCAATAATATAAAATACCACCTTTTCAGAAGACATAAAATAGAAATATCACTCCATCAGTTATCCTCAGGGATATTCATCATTTAACTAACTTATGAAGAGCATTTGTTCAGGTGGAATCCAATATCCTCCAAATGGCATTCAGGGGAGGTGTGAGCTCTTTGATTTGTAAAATTAAATTGGATAAGGATTCTGAAAGTGAATAATTTGACACCAATTCCATGATGTAGGTTGAAACAATTATTAAAACAGAAGGGCTCTCTGACTGTCCTTCTGAGTCTAAGGAATTAGCACTCCTTTCAAACTCGCAGACGAGAAAAAATCTGCAAAGAATGAATGGGAAAATTATATTCAAAAAAGGTAAAAAAAAGCATGCGAGTTGTCACTATCCTAGTTGTTGAAGTGTGGGAGTTGTTGGTGTGCAACTTGTTCCTATTCGAGTTGTTGCTATCCAAATGGTCAGGGAATTGCTTGGATTATTATTCAACATTCCTCAGGATAAAATTATAATTTACTGTATGATGCAAAATATTCTTCTTATAGTCTTATGTCAACTTTGAAATCGAGGAAATGCATGCATTATTCTGCAATGTCAGATATCAGTGAAAAAAAAACGTTGCTTGGAACTAAGAACTGAAACACAGAAATGTCCAAATTTCTGCAAGGAGAAAAGATAATGCTGATGAAAGATGGTTACTTGGAAACAAATCGTCTCCTGGAGTCAATTAATTGCTCCGATGCAACTTTGACTTGTTTCCATTATACTGTACATCAGTAATGTTTCATATACCGAGGAAAAACATACATAAGCCGGAAAGCATTAATTCTAATCGCAGGTATAAACCTGCTGGCTTCATCTCAAAAGAATAAAAGGAATGCTTCCAATTAGAATCCCAGGATCTCCTCATTTCTCATTTCCTTGGCCTGAGTGCTTGCGATGATGATGTCGATAATTCTTCCGCCGTTTCCTTTTGTTTCCAGCATCCGTATTATTGGCTGCGTTTGTTGCAGTGCCAGAGGCTCCATCTTGCGGAGCCCCATTCACCGGAGTGTTAGCTGATGCTGCAGTTGGTGATCCTCGAGATGAATTCACGTCATCTTTCAACTTTTCCTGGCCTCTTTTTCCCCTGGATTGCCTGAATTTATCTTCATCTTGGTCACCGACAGAAGACAATGACATGATGCTGCTGGAGGGTGAAACTGCTGCCATCAACGAAGACTCTTTGTTTCTTCCGTCAGCGATGCCAACTGCTGATACGGTGTCATCATCCGGCGACTGACGCATTATTTTCAAGTCTTGTGAGACATGGAGAACCGTGAGCACGGAATCAGCTGGTAAACTGGGCTCTTCGGATAAATTTAAAACAACCGAAGCGTCTTCGTTGCCAGACAGCACACCGAGATCTTCTTCCTCTGTCAACCCTTGTTCTTCATTGCCATGTCCTTGAACGTTCAAATAGTCCACCGGAGCGGAAGATGAGGACGAAGCGCAACAAGTGCTCGTGGTTGTCAAGATGTCTGCGCTCTTCTCCATGCCGATGTACACGACTTGAGGCTCATCTGCTATGGGTAATAATTCTTGTTCTTTCTCAGCTGCTGCAGACTCAGTCTCATCCAGGCTTTGCTGGAAATCATCAGGCTGCTCCATGTCTTCAGTGTCTGTCCAAATTTCTTGATCGTTGTCCGGAGGAGCGAGAGTGGTGCTGGATACTCGGTCAGTAGGAGCGACCTCTTGTATTTTCCAATGTTTACCGGCAGCCGCGAACGCGTTCAAAATTGCAGGGATGTCGCTTCCAAGGTCCGAGGAAGCGTATGCCGACGAAGTCAAATGCCAATTGCGAGTTTCTTCAGTTTCTTCGTTCTCAGACTCATCAACCAGGATTTCTTCGGCTTCGGAAACTGGTTCTGCTGCTTGGTCAAGAGTAGGTGTCAAAAGGTGTCGT